TACGCCAATCATCACGCTCAACATCGGGGTCAGCCGAATTTCTGCCTTGGTCGTTCTGTGATGCCAAAATAAGCGAAATGTAGACGGAAAATTATAAGAATCGATATCGATCATCTGTAGATTTACGTGACAGATTACATAATAATTTTAGGCAGCTTTCAATGCATTATGACATAAATAATCTGTTCTGATAAAAGCGCTTTGAAAGCACTTTAAGGTTTGACATGGCATCGAATTTTTAATGGATTTTGTGTGATACGATATATTAATAATAGCTTAGTTGGTGCTACAGAGAATACATCATGCATGACGTAACAAGCACAGCTTTTATGAGAGAATAAAGGTATTCGAGATTACAAGAGTCATGCTTGATTCGGTCGTGTATTGTTGAAATGCGATTCGGGGTAATGCTTTAAATATAGCGCGCAACATATATTCTATTTTAATAGAGATATAAAGCGCGGATCTCCCAACAACCTTTGGGTAGGCGAATTAAAAATTACGATAACAATCGTATCGAGCAAACAATTGGAAAATTGTCCAACGGTATTAAATCGCCAATTCCTGACCCGATTTTTCGCGCAATCATAAAAGCGCCGGGAGCTTTTTACGCAGCTCACTCGACGATTAATATTGACTCGATGGCTTTTCATCAATCCGGCCAATTGGCGGCGACTCATCATCCGCCCTGTATGATGGACGTGAAATTTTTCGTAATTATTAGATTTCAATGTAAGCCTTTGGAGAGAAGCGTTATAACTGATAAAAAAAATTAGCAGATTTAAAAAAAAAGCCAGAAAAATTTAAAAAAAAATACTTTCATTTATTGTTTTCGATCAGTTTCGCAAATTGTTACTAAAAATTTTCTCTATATTTAATCGTAATTTTATAAAGACAATTGAATTCTCTACCATCTTAAATTGAATTCTGTTTCGTAGAGAAATCGACTTTCCTTATTAGTTACATCAGTTTTCAATTCCCAAAATACGATCACGCAACTTTCTTAGTAAAGAAATGTTTTATGTCGCAGGCAAGAAAGTTTGAGAACCACTCATGTAAGATATACCAAATAGAATGATGGTCCTCGAACCAGTACTTCCTTGGAACTTTTAAGCAAAATCGACTATCGCAAAGGTTCGTTCAAAAGATATCGAAAGCTTTGGGAGTTGTTAACGTTACAGTGAATCTTGCAGGAATTTTTGCACGCGAGCATCAAACGAATTCAAGTCATTCGAATACATAGCGTTGCATGCATCAGAACCGACACGAATACACGTATACTTCGATCGTCAGGTATACCATTTCCGATTCCGAAGATACAGATACCATACTGTCACGGTTAGTCGGATTTAAGGATGAAACAGGAATATTCGCACACTCACCCGATTCAGATGTCAATTGTTTCTCCGGTAGCCCAGAGTGCCGGCCTGCACCACCATCGCCTCGCTACGGCCTTTGTCGTTGTAGGCATAAATGCAGGCTTGATAAAGGGCGCCCGCTTCCAGGTGACTGACGCTGAAACGCGGCGTCTGCGACGTCAGATTGGCACGCATTCCTGGCTATTGCTCTCGCGCACCTCCAGCAGGAAGGATTGCGGCAGACCGCCGTTGAAGCCCTCTGCGCATCGCACGGAGAATGAATTGGTCGATGTGTTCGAGGTCGTGCAGTTGTGGACCATGTCCGGCCGCCTGTCACAGAATAAGGTTTACTTGCATTTTAAATGCGCCACGAAATATTCGCGCGTTTGTAACAGGCTTGTAACGTGCCTTGGGCACGAGGTCGCGATAATATCAGAGATAATCTTATTTTACAAGTACGCCTTTGATAGCTAACACATTTTACATCAGAGATATTGGGACAGAGTTGAGATAATTAATAAGAAAAATAATACGATGGTAAAAACTAATCACTTCAATTTAAATATATAATTGGATCCCTCTCCCTCCTACATTGGCAAAAAATAGAGCTCGATTTCTTTTTTACAAGTATACCAAGTTTTTCGGAAATAAATCTCTACTAGATTATAAAATTTGTTTCAATGTTTTAAATAACTGTCAAAACACTTCAATGCTTTGACAAATTAAATATTCATTTAATTTTAATCACGCTAGCGAATGAATAAATAAATTAATGTGTCAATATCGAGATACTTTCATTATACATCAACGAGAAAAACTTTTAAACTCATTAACATATATAAGTTCATATCAACTTAATAATATTAAACAATTTTCCTTCCGTTCCGTATATATTGATTTTTTGTTAAATACTGCATGCATAATAAAAACTACATTTTTATATCGTAGAAAAGGAGCAAAATGAAATAATAGGATGTTCTGAAGTCTTATTGATATTCTTAAAGTCGAAACAATATAAACAAATATAAATGAATTGTCAAACTAACGTTAATGTTATTTGTATAAATATGCAAATTAATTATGTGACAACTCTCCTCAACATTTCTAAAGTTCGTTTATGCCTTTTACGCCGTTATTAAAAGTGTGCCACATTTTAAACAAACTAATTATATAAGCGGTCTAATTATGTAAGTAGATTCTCTTTAGCATCAGCGTGTTCTGAAGTTTACTCTAACTTTCGATATTACATTCTTTTCTCACGAAGATGATGTATAGTTTCTTATACAGACGATGGAAGAGGAGGGGTCTTATGCAACATATCGGTTCACGTGGGGTACATTCGCGAATCAGGGCGTGATAGTTGCCCTGTAAATCTGGTTCACGGTACGCCGGCATATACAAGAGCACTTGTAAGCTGCACAACCGAGTCGGCTGTAAAGATGCACGGATGTTTGTGTGGTATTTTCCTGGGAAGTATTAGCCGATGGTACTACTTTGCGGCTCGTAAAAGCCGACTAAAAGGGCAGGAACGAGATGGTAACGGGAATATGGCATATTGTGTCGCGAGAGAGGAGAAATAAAGAAAGGGAAATAAGCGAAATATGCCGCGAGATTGTTCTCGCGTTTATGGTTCCTGAAAATCACAGTGCCGGACACCTGCTACCATTTCGCGAATCCTCCCCTTCGTCACCTTCTCCTTTTTATCTGCTTAAGTCGTATCTATTTTTGCTGCGGCATGAAGGACGAAAACCGTTTTCTTTTATACCCCGAATATATATATGTATGCGCGCGTTCTTGTATATGCATACGCACGTTTTTCTTTGCATTAAAGCAATCCGATCCGCGAATCGCAATTAATTGGTAACTCGAGCATCAATATCGGCAGAAATACGACCATGGGAATAATGGGGATACTGACGTTACGGATCTCTCCCGTTAGTTCTTGTGTGGATTTCTAAGTCGTATATTTTAAATAAAAAACAGTAGTATCAGGTTTTTTATGAATGATTTTTGTTTAACAAATAAACTAATAATTTTTTTATATTATTATATACTTTGCGAGAGGCGAACGTAATATGTATGTTATAATATAATTACATATTTTTAAGTTTTGTTTTTATACAAAGTTTTTTGATATTCGAAAATAATTTGCGATTTTATTATTAATTTATATATCGTTATTTCAATAGTAATTTTAGAGCTAATTATAATTGCAAAACTTATACTTATTTAGGTAATTGGAAATTTCAGGTAATTGAATAATTCTAATAAAGCGACATATACTACTTCCATCACTATATATGCTCTTTCCAAATATATATTAAGATTTAAATTAGTTATTCAATTAGGTAAATTCAAACTTTGGAAACTAGGAGCAAAATCCGGGTCTTAAATTAGCATAAAGTTGTAATTTCCGAAAGAATTAAATCTTTCCAATAAAAAACCATTAGTACTAAGTTTATTATCAATTTTACCAATTTACGAAAAATAAGCGGATTATACAGAAATTTATTTTTTAAAAGCATACATTTTTCTCTAATTCTCTAAATCCGAGAAAACGTTTTAATCTTCTAATTCAGAGAAAATTATAATCATTCATCTCCTTAATACTAGTCTTCTCTTTCTAAAATAAATTCTTTTCTTTCTACCCACATTTATTCTAATCTTTTTTTAGTTCACAAAAGCAATCGTAAATTACAAAATGACCAAATCGAGATTTCTTATCTCATATAAATTTTTTGAAATTCGTGAATAATTTGCATAACTTTATTACGTCACGTCGCAATTCCGTCGTGACAATCAATCTCCTTCATCAAAAATTCACGTTGCATATCGAGAACCAGTTTCGTAACGTCGGTTCGCATTTTCGCCAACGTCACGATACGGATATGAATAATGATATATCTTACCGGCTGGAATAATGTGATAGACGCAGGGTACTTGTTGTTGGCCGATGTGATTGCTGGCCCAACAAAGTAGCGTGCCGTAATCTAGTTCTGTCATTGGTGTGTATGAGACGATGGAAGATGTGCCGGCTCGCGCGATGTGACCGGCCGAAACGTCGATACTCTCGGCGGAGTTATTGAAGGTCCATTTGAATTGCACTTCCGGCGGATTTGCATCCACTTGACAGGATATATTCGCCTTCTCCTGTTTCGCCACGCCATGGACCTTGGTCTGATTCGGCTTGCACGTGGGAGCGACTGCAGAAAGTCGAAAATGACATCGATAAATATAATAATTAGAACGCAGATATATTTTCGTCTTGCAACCCCTTATGCTATTGCTAAATATATTACGATTTGACTGACAGTTCATGATTCATTAAGTTTTTATTGAAAGTTTGATATAAAAAAATAATTTGATTAATCGGGACACACGAAATATTTTATTACTATCTTCGCTTCACCTTATTGATAGATTTTCTAACTTTAGAGTCAACATGTACCAAATTATATAATGGAAAAATTTTAAAAAATTTTTAAATTTAATATCTTGCTGATTCAGAGCCACAGATTATATTTCTTTAAATAAATAATAACTGAATAAATCGACCAGACTGACAATAATTTATTCGATGATTAAATTACATACGACGTTTCGGCCATCAATGCGGTCCTTCTCAAGTAAATCTACGAATATTAATCACAACAAAAATTAATATTAAAGATTAAAAAATATAAAATTAAAAATTTTTAAAAATAAATATAATTACACGCATATATGAACACAAAATATAGATTAATAAAAATAGATTACGTTACCAAATAAAGTAAAGAATGTAAATCAAATTCATAAGACGGGCGTGAATAATTTAAAACTATTGCGGGCTAGCTGCATTTTAACAAACGTTACATAAAACACTGCAGAAAGCAACAATCCACCGATAGAACGTCAAAACGATGTTAACTACTCGAAATCCAATTAAGTACTAACAGTAAGACATCAAAGTTAAATTACAGTAACAAAGTCAAATAAATAAATATAATCAAATAGAGTCAAGAACGCGGTCATAAATCCCACTGAAATTCTCCGTATCTTTTTGTAAATTAATAATATTCGAATGCTTCTTGATGTAAAACATCTCTGCGATTGCTCTTTTTCTTGTATGTTTTTCATAATGTAGTATTTTTGGAGAATCTCAACGAAATTCATGGTCATTAGACAACTATTATTTATTTCTTTAAGTATTCCCGTGAAAATATGTGAAAAGAGATATTCTCTGCCGCTCATTTAAATGAATAAAGCTCAATTTCTATAAATATTTTAATTTCTATGTTAACTGACTTTATACTAGAATAATTAAATTTGCATAAAATCAAAACTTAATGATTCATCCAGAAATTTATCACATACAATATTATTATTTTCTATTATAAATAATAGAAATTAGATGGTAAATCATTTATTAACATTAAATACACTTTGATATATAATAAATTAATTATATTATACAAGAAAAATTTTAAACTTTTTTTTCACTATTTTTATTTATTTTTTTTATACTGACCATGCGAATGTTATTACATTACGCGCTTGTAATTTTTAGCTGCGAATTTCTGTGTTAAACACGCGGGAGTAACTTTCCTATAATATGTCCCACAGCGAGTCGATTCTCGCTCACGAATCAATTCAAATATTGATTAGTAAAACTGTTACAATCCGTGAAATATTTCGATATATCGCATCCGATAATCTCCGCGCGCAAACGGACAAACAGTGGAACTGGTTACACACGCAATTCACGAGAGACATTCGAACTCGTGCACAACGTAAACTCGGAATTAAAATTTCACGGTGAAAATTTACGGGAACACCGAATCTTTGCGCGTTATAATCCATTATTAATTAAAGCCAACCGAACGAAGCGTGTCTGTTTTTCATTACGCTGTCCATATCGGTGTTACCATTTACGTTCTTAGCGTGATAAATAATCCGAAAAATCGTTTATTTATCGCCGAAGGGAATTTTAGTAGTACTTTAACAATCTGTACAATGAATTAATCCATGAAAAGCCGATTACACGTTTCACTAAACGTCGAAGAAATTGAGAAGCTTTGTATAACATTCTTTTGCATTTGTTTATTCACTGAAAATGATTATATTATTGTATAATTAAAATTTAAAATATCAAATAATTGAAGTTTATATATAATTTCAAAATAATTTTACATATTCCCTATATATACGTATACGTAACATGAGAAAATAAAATTGTTTCATCGATACGTCTGATCTATCGAGTATCTTACTACTATCGGATTGTTTATCTATTGTAAATAATTATATTATGATATAATTAAAATTTATATCAAATAATTCAACTAGGTTTATATATAATTTCAGAATAATTTTAAATATTCCCTATAAATACGTATACATAACATGAGAAAATAAAATTGTTTCATCGAAGCGTCTGATCTATCGAGTATCTTACTACTACCGAATTTGTATATTCATTATAAATAATTATATTATGGTATAATTAAAATTTAAAATATAAAATAATTCAACTAGGTTCATATATAATTTCAAAATAATTTTAAATATTCCCTATATATACGTATACGTAATTGGAAAAATAAAATTGTTTCATCGAAGCGTCTGAAGTATCTTACTACTATCGGATTTGTTTATCTATTAAAAATAATTATATTATGTATAATTAAAATTTAAGATATTAATAATTCAACTAGGTTTATATATAATTTCAAAATGACTTTAAATATTCCTATATATATGTATACGTAATTGAGAAAATAAAATTGTTTTATCGAAGCGTCTGATCTATCGAGTATCTTACTACTATCGGATTTGTTTATCTATTTAAATAATTTTATTATGGTATAATTAAATTTAAGATATCAAATAATTCAACTAAGTTATATATAATTTCAGAATAATTTTAAATATTCCCTATATATACGTATACGTAATGGAAAATAAAATTGTTTCATCGAAGCGTCTGATCTATCGAGTATCTTACTACTACCGAATTTGTTTATTCATTGAAAAGATTATATTATTGTATAATTAAAATTTAAAATATCAAATAATTCAACTAAGTTTATATATAATTCAAATAACTTTAAATATTCCCTATATATATGTATACGTAATTTGAGAAAATAAAATTGTTTCATCGAAGCGTCTGAAGTATCTTACTACTATCGGATTTGTTCATCTATTAAAATATTATATTATGATATAATTAAAATTTAAGATATTAAATAATTCGACTAGGTTTATATATAATTTCAAATGACTTTAAATATTCCCTATATATGTATACGTAAATTGAAAAAATTAAATTTTTTATCGAAGCGTCTGATCTATCGAGTATCTTACTACTATCGGATTTGTTTATCTATTAAAATAATTTTATTATGGTATAATTAACATTTAAGATATCAAATAATTCAACTTAGTTTATATATAAGTTCGGAATAATTTTAAATACTCCTTATATATACGTATACGTAATTTGGAAAATAAAATTGTTTCATCAAAGCGTCTGATCTATCGAGTATCTTACTACTACCGAATGTGTTTATTCATTAAAATAGATTATATTGTTGTATAATTCAAATTTAAAATATCAAATAATTCAACTAGTTTATATATAATTCCAAAATAACTAAATATTCTCTATATATATGTATACGTAATATGGGAAAATAAAATTGTTTCATCGAAGCGTCTGATCTATCGAGTATCTTACTACTATCGGATTTGTTTATTCATTGAAAATGATTATATTATTGTATAATTAAAATTTAAAATATCAAATAATTCAACTAGGTTTATATATAATTCCAAATAACTTTAAATATTCTCTATATATATGTATACGTAATATGGAAAATAAAATTGTTTCATCAAAGCGTCTGATCTATCGAGTATCTTACTACTACCGAATGTGTTTATTCATTGAAAATGATTATATTGTTGTATAATTAAAATTTAAAATATCAAATAATTCAACTAGGTTTATATATAATTCCAAAATAACTTTAAATATTCTCTATATATATGTTTACGTAATATAGAAAATAAAATTGTTTCATCGAAGCGTCTGATCTATCGAGTATCTTACTACTACCGGATTTGTTTATTCATTGAAAATAATTATATTATTGTATAATTAAAATTTAATATATCAAATAATTCAACTAGGTTTATATATAATTTCAAAATAATTTTAATATTCCCTATATATATGTATACGTAATATAAGAAAATAAAATTGTTTCATCGAAGCGTCTGACCTATCGAGTATCTTACTACTACCGGATTTGTTTATTCATTGAAAATGATTATATTATTGTATAATTAAAATTTAAAATATCAAATAATTCAACTAGGTTTGTATATAATTTCAGAATAATTTTAAATATTCTCTATATATATGTATACGTAATTTGGTAAAATAAAATTGTTTTATCGAAGCGTCTGATCTATCGAGTATCTTACTACTATCGGATTTGTTTATTCATTGAAAATGATTATATTATTGTATAATTAAAATTTAAAATATCAATTAATTCAACTAGGTTTATATATAAATTCGGAATGACTTTAAATATTCTCTATATATATGTATACGTAATATGAGAAAATAAAATTGTTCCATCAAAGTGTCGGTCCTATCGAGTATCTTACTACTACCGAATGTGTTTATTCATTGAAAATGATTATATTGTTGTATAATTCAAATTTAAAATATCAAATAATTTAACTAAGTTTATATATAATTCCAAAATAACTTTAAATATTCCTATATATATGTATACGTAATATGGAAAAATAAAATTGTTTCATCGAAGCGTCTGATCTATCGAGTATCTTACTACTACCGGATTTGTTTATTCATTGAAAATGATTATATTATTGTATAATTAAAATTTAAAATATCAAATAATTCAACTAGGTTTATATATAATTTCGGAATAACTTTAAATATTCTCTATATATATGTATACGTAATATGGAAAATAAAATTGTTTCATCGAAGCGTCTGATCTATCGAGTATCTTACTACTATCGGATTTGTTTATCTATTGAAAATAATTATATTATGGTATAATTAAAATTTAAATATCAAATAATTCAACTAGGTTTATATATAATTCAGAATAATTTTAAATATTCCCTATATATATGTATACGTAATATGGAAAATAAAATTGTTTCATCGAAGCGT